GGAATGCCACCTTAGAAGTTAACTGAAATAAAATATCACTGGGAAGATTTATTTTAAAACTAGATAATTTACTGTTAAAATTTTAGGGGGAAATGAGTGTATTTGCATTTTATTTTAATTTTAATGATGTTAAATATTCTTCCTGTTTTTCTTTCAGAATTGGTCCCTAGGAAAGACCTTCTTATAGAAAATGTGCCGTATTGTGATGCACCAACTCAGAAGCAATGAATTTTTCTTGAATAAAATTAAGTCTTTATCATTTAAAATTTTAAAGTATATAACTCTGGCTAAACTCCTGGAAATGCGAATATTTTTCTCTGAAATGGTATATTGAAATTGAGTGCATTAAATTATAGTTTCATAATTAAGTTTCACGTTGAAAGAACATTGCTGAAAACTGCAAAACATAGTTAAGTATTTCTAAAGAACATTAGGTAAGAAGACATTTCATTTTCACTGAAAATCAAACTGTATAAAGTGAAATAAATGCTTAGGGAGGTATATCATATTCACTTCTGTTTGACCTTAATGAGTATTTTGGTTTTATCATAGCTATTTGAGAATGAAGTGTTTTGACAGGTTGGTGGGTTTTCTTCCCATGTGAAATGAAACTATTAGATTAAAATTATTAGATTAAGTTAACGTTTAGTCCCGAAAATAACTGGTCTAAAAATCACAGTGCTTGCCAACTTTCCACAGAAGGCAGCCTTTGTTCCTAAAGCACTGAAATTATTCCTGTATCTAACAAATAATTATACAGTTTCCTTTGAGAGATATAGTGTATCTCTGTTCCTAAAAGAAAATTTTTAATCAGTCTTCTGAAGATAGGTGAATAAAATGTCAAAATCACGTAAGATAACTGTGGAATAAAGAAATTCTAATTTTTTAAGGAAATACTGTCCCTTGATCCAACTATATAATATAGGCTTAGTAGAATTAGCTGTACTTAGACCACAGCTAGACCTTATTGTGAAAATGTAATATATGGCTGCATCCTCTTCATTTTAATCAATAAAATCTAAATGGCTTTTTTTTCTCCAACATTTTTCATCCCTGACAAGATTGACAGTATCACAGAACAGCTTGGCATTCTACCATCTGATGATAGGAACTATAAAACTGTGTTTAATATTATTCTTGTTTCTCTTTTATCTATGCATCTTTACCATTCTGTTTTCTCAGTGAGCAGTGTATTCTCTTCCATTCACTGGTCAGTTCTCCCATTTGATGATGACACAGCGTTTTTAATTTTTACAAGATTCTCAATGCAAGCTTTGTTTGTTGGCAAACATATTGGTATTGCCATGCTCAATATAAAATGTCATGTTTTAAAATAATTTAATTTTAGTAGGTAAAAAAATTATCAAAATTGCCTAGACAGAGTACACTTAACAGTAAACCAGAGACTACCCTTAATGCCTCCTAATACTTTGGAGATTAGTAGTCTGCAAAATGGATTATATAGGTCAAAAGATTTGCTACATAATTTTTTTATCTCTCATGCCTCTTTCTTATTGTGTGTATGGAAGTTATACCTACATAAACGTTGTTTCAGATTTGAAATTTGCCCTTATAAGAAAATGCTAAAGATCATCATGACACAATCACTGGTAAATTCTCTGACTTACTATTATTTCAGTAAGTGTCTATATTATGTCTTTTGAGGAAAGTTGGCTAAAATAGTTTAAATTTAATATATATTTTAATTTTTTTAATATTATTTAACATTTTTAGAAGTTTCTAGTTTTTTTTCTTTAACCTGAATTCCTGTGTTCCATTCTTCACTCATGTTAATTTAAATATCTCATCAAAAAATAGTTTTTTTTTTACAATCTAGTTATCATTAGGAGCAAGAGAGATTAATAACTAACATGTTACATAAAATAAAAAATAATCATTCAGATGTTTATTTTATTGAAGCTAGTACGTTAGACATTTTAAGATATATACTATATATGTATATGTATTATATATGTGTATATATATAAATATATATATATATATAGTGATTTTGTGCCTTAAGACTATGCAGTACAATTCCTATGTAATACACCAGGATATCAACAATAGGTTTCACTGTCATAAAGTTTTGAGAGATTTGGCACCCTGTCCTTAAAGAGCATATATTTATATTTCAAATTAATTTTAACATTATTTAATAGTTTTATTAGATCAGTTAAAACAATTTATGAGTTCTTGGCCTGTTGTGAAACAAAGATTGTCAGTATTCTAGAGAGTAAATTTTGTGAATGATGATTATCTAAGTGCCTGACTTCTCTGTGGTACAATGTCAAATTTAATTAAACCTTTTTTAGTTAGTTAAAAAAAAGCTTCCCATGTTCCCAGAGGGAATTACCCACATCTAACATTTCACTTTGACTATTGAAACCCAGTGAAAGTGGGTGGGTGCAAATTCTAATTGCAGATATCTAGGCTCAGAGGCCCAGCAGGACTTTGTAAAACAGTCTTTTGGCAGAAGTCAGAAAGGGTGTATGCCAGGAGACTTAGATTTGGCAAGCATATGTGGGGAAGAATGCTTCACTAAAGATTTGAAGCTAAAGGAAATATGAGAGATAGTTTGCATAACATCTAATTCAGAACATTAAAATTAAGATTTGAGTATAATTGTGTTTAAGTTGGTCCTCATTTTGCCTTCAGTTGCATATTTTAACATCAGTACAATGTCCAAAAAGCACACAATAATAAGAATAGGTAGAATTTCTACACTCATTGACAAAACCAATCATTTCACTGTAAACACAAAGCCATAGGTCAACAAAGAAGTGAAAATTCCAGTTCTTAAGCAGAATTTTCTAAAGTGAAAGTAGATAAATAAAAAATTAATGTAACTTTACTATATATCAGGAGTAACCTATCAGAAATGAAATGGAAAAAAGATTCTGTGTATAATAGCAAACAAAACTAAAATAGGAAGCAACTTTTTTAAAAAACTGTAAAACTTAAAAATGAAAGACATACTGTGTTCCTAGATGGGACAGTTGAAAATTGTAGAGATGACAGTTCTTTAAAATGTAACCTATCAAGATCCCAACAGATCCACAGATATGTGTACATAAAAATATAAAACTTCTGTATTCTGTGAAAGCTACTATAAATAAAGTTTAGAGAAATTTGCCACCAATGTAGTAATTAAAATAGTTAAGATATAAGATGTTCCTATGACTCAGCAAAAGATAACTCATTGGAAAAATGGGCAAATGATATAAATAAGAAATTCATAAAACAAGAAATACTAACCCATTTAGTGGTCAAAGAAATGTAGGTTAAAACAAAGGAAACATTTTTCGTCATCAAAGTTGCAAAAGTTAAAGAAACTGGTCATATCCAGTATATGTAAAGGTGATACGCATGTGAGAAAATGGGCACTCTCATATATTTCAGGAAGGAATGTAAGTTATAGGGCCTTTTTGAAAGGGAAATTGACATCAAAATTTAAAATAAACATACTGTTCAGAGTGTATCCCAGTGGCTCACAAGAATACTAATAAATGTACACCTCAGGTATATGTACAGAAATTTCTACAGCATTGTTTAAACAGCCTAAATTTCCAAATTTAGGGGAACAATGAAGGAAGATATGGCTTATTCATACTCTGGGATATTATGCAGAAGTTGAAAAGTATGATGTAGAATATATATATATATATATATGTATATATATACATGTCAAGTGAAAGAAGCACGTCACAGAATATATATTCTCTTTGAATCCGTTTAGATACAAAACAACTATTTTTGTACACATATATGCGTATGTGTATATAAATACATAGAAGTAATGCACGCTAAATGTTAATAATTAGTCTGGGAGAAAAATGAGATTTGGGGAAGGGGACTAGTAACTTGAGGACTTTTATTCTGATAACTCCTGAATGTTTAAATGTTTTATAATTTTTTTTTTTTTTTTTTTTTTTTGTACCTCACTGTCGTGGCCTCTCCCGTTGCCAGACGCGCAAGCTCAGCGCCCATGGCTCACGGGCCCAGCCGCTCCGCGGCACGTGGGATCCTCCCGGACCGGGGCACGAACCCGTATCCCCTGCATCGGCAGGCGGACTCTGAACCACCGCGCCACCAGGGAGGCCCAAATGTTTTATAATTTTTAAAGGACAATAATACCTAAGCTACTAGTGATTTTTATGTAAAATTTTAAATTATAAAATGTTTCAAATATCAGCAACTGGTACATCAGACACTCGTAAACCTAATTCCCACATTTGACAGATGTTACATTTTGCCATATTTGTTTAACAAAAATCTCCTTCCTTTTAAGTCATAAAATCCTGTAAAGCTGAAGTCCTACCTCCCTTTTTATTTTCTTGTCTCATTTCAGGGATAATCACTATTTTATAGTCAGTGGATATCACTCCTGTACTTGTTTTTATACTTTTATCAAACGTGTGTGTGTTCAAAACAATATATTGTATTGTTCTGTGGCTTTAAAATGCAAGTGAATGGTGTTATGCTCCATATATTCTGCAACTTACTTTTCATCACACATTAGGTTCTGAGGTTTATCTATACTGTTGGATAAATATCTAGGTCTTTCACTTTTATGTCTTATTCCATTGTAAGAATAAGCTAGTTTATCCATGTCTCTTGGTAAACAATAGTATTGTTTCATTTTTTTGATATTGCAAATGAATTTACTGAAAGCACTAGCACATGGATTCTTGTACCCATGTAAAAGTTTATCTAGGTATATACCAAGAAGCAGAACTGTTGAGGCATAGGGTATGTACATATTCCAGTTTTCCAGGAATTTTTTACTTGTTCTTTAAAGTAACTGTACCAATTTATACCCCAATCAACCCTGTGTGAGAGGTCCCTTTTCACCATATCCTCACTGTTATTGTTATGTATAACTTTTCTCATTTTTGTCAAACTCATGGATATGAAAAGGTATCACATTGTTTTAATTTGCATTTCTGGATTACTGGTGAGGTAGATCAGCTTGTCATGCTTATTATGGTCATTACAGTTTTCCATTGTGAATGTGTATTCATATCCTTTGTTCACTTTTCTCTATTGGGTTGTCTGGCTTTTTCTTACTGATCCTTTATATACTCTTGATATTAATCTTGTGTTGGTTATCTGTGGTACAATTGCCTTTTTCCAATATGTGGCCTTTCAATTCTGTTTATGATAAACCTGTAGTTTGGGACTTTTTTTTATCATATTCATTAAAAAAACTTTTCCTTTATTAATTTTGCCTTTATAGCTTTTTAAGAAATTCTTGCTACTCCAAATCATAAAGATATTCTAGT